GATACCTGTACCTGACACACATACACACAGAGTACCTGCACCTGGCGTGCGCACACATACACACTCAGAGTACCTGCATCTGGCGCGCACGTGCACGCGCGCGCACACACACACACACATACACAGTACCTACACCTGCCACACACACATACCACACTACACTATGGCGCCACACCTATCTTGTATATCACACAGACACTACATGTAAAAGCAGTACCTCCACACACACACACACACATCTGCATGCAGCACATGTGTGCACACCCACATGCATGGACATGAACACACTCCAAGAGTTAAAAGGAAAGTGGGGAGGGGCTGGGGTTGTGGCTCAGCGGTAGAGCACTCATCTAGCACATGCGAGGCCCTGAGTTCGATCCTCAGCACCACATAAAAATAAATAAATAAAGATATTGTGTCCAACTAAAAAAAAAATAAATATTAAAAATAAAAAAGGAAAGTGGGAGCTGGTGCACATCCATAGTTCAGCCACTCAGGAGGCTGAGGCAGGAGGATCGCAAGTGTGATATCATCCTGAACAACCTAGTGAGACCCTGTCTCAAAATAAAAAAGGGCTGGGGCTGCGGCTCAGTGGTAGAGTGCTTGCCTAGCATATGCAAGGCCCGGGGTCAGTCCCTGGTACCACAAAGAACAAAACCAAACAACCCTATACCAAGGGCAGGAAGTGACATGGCAGGGCTGGTTAGACAGAGCAGGGGTTTCCTGGAAATCAGGAAAGCAGCAACTGAGCATTGTTCAGCTTTGACAGTGAGCCTTATCAGTGACTTTCCCAAGAGCAACTCCAGGACTGGATGGGGGCCGAAACCAAACTGTTTCAAACTGAAGAGTGACTAGGAATTGTAGAGGAAACCAGAAAGTTCTCAAGAAGCTTGTAAAGGGGTGGGGGAAGCAGGGGGCTGGCTGTAGAGGGGTCGAGCCTTGGAGATGTGCCCACATTTGGTGCAGTTGTGGCTGCTTTGGGGTGGGCGGACATATGTGCAGAGGGTTCCCTGGAGGCGGAGGGGATGGGGTCCTCAAGTAGGTGCTTAGGCGGGGCCCTTCCTCGGGCGACAGTGGGAGCAGGACTCCGTCTGAGCAGAGGCAGTGGGCTGGGCATTTGGGAGAGTGAAGGAGGGAGTTGGGCACTGTCAAGACTGGGCGAGTGAGCTGCCTAGAGAAGGGGACTCTTGGCAGAGGCTGAATATCCCCCTGGCCTGGGCCTGGGCCAGCCCCTGGGGAGGTGTGAAGGCCAGGGTCAGAGGCTTTCTGGGAAGTGCAGCAAGAGGGAACTGTGCTGTGGCTTGGGGTCCTCAGGCACTCTGGGGAGGCAGGCTGAGAAGGGAGAGGGCAGGCCTCCAAGGCAGGAAGAGGACAGACAGCAGCGCTCCTACAGCCAGGCCAGTGCTGGGAGGCTGTAGCAGTCTTCACACTAGGTGGTTGCAGGAGGGTGCTTGGGGGAAGGAAGCTGTTGAGCCAGCACAGACGGTACCAACCGAGTGCCCTGCAGCTCAGTCCAGGGCTGTGGTGATGAGCCTGGTAGCGGCACCTGACCAAGGCTATTTCAGGGGGCGTCTAGGAGTAGGAACAGGACAGAGGGAGGTGAGAGCAGAGACAGGCCGTAGCACAGGGCAGTACTAGGTGAGTAGCTAAGCTGGTGTTCAGATGTCTGTCACTGCCTGTTTGCCATAGCTGTGACATTGTCCTCTCCTCTGCCGGCCCCAGTGCAGGACTTGACAGATGACCACCTGGCCGGCAGTGGTCAGGTGACCTCTGTCCACTGAGTGGCTGTTGCTAGGTGTTGTCACGGCCTGACTGTTCTCTTTGCAGTTCCGGGTGCTCTTTGCCAACCTGGCAGCTCTGGTATGGTACGTCTATCTGGCATCTCTGGGGTAGTGACGCTGGCCTGGGGAGGACATCAGGTGCATCTGGACAGGGGAGAGCAGAGCCCAGCCAGGACGTCTTCTGACTTTAAATCATGTGATTTGAGATGCCTCAGAATTGTGATTGGAGAAACAGAAGTCTCTAAATGTAAGAGTGCTGTGTCTCAGAGGTGGCCTCATTGCCTGGACCAAGAGGTTGCAATAAACAGAGATGATCAGCTGCTTCCCTGGTGTGGTGCCGGGTTTCGGTTCTCGCGACTAAAAGGCTCAGGGGTCACTCTAGTTAAACTGGGCTAACTGGGCTGCACGAAATAACCACCCAAGAGACACAAATACCTTTTTCTTTGGGGTTGCTGTGACGGCTCCTCTGACCTTAAGGGTCCACAGAAAGAGAGAGAGAGAGCACACGCTGACCCCTTTTATTGAGGAAAAGCTATTCAAATGAGGCAAGGGGTCAGGTTTCAGGGGGCTGAGTCTATCTTCATGATGTCCACTGTCAGCAGGTTGACTGACACCTGGGTAGGCCACACCCAAGGGCACAGTAAGAGGAGGGGACACACACAAGGCATTTCCATGGAAGATTCTATCCTAAACGGGGCAAGGGGTTATATTACAAAGGAACAGATGAGCATAGCTTCACCCATGGGGCTGTAGCAAGACACACCCATTTCTGTGACTGAGCGCCTCAGCATCCAGCTGGGGAGTGTAACTCAGTCACCCATAAATTTGGCCTCCCACAGTGTGGTTTCTCAGAGGACAGGTCACTGGGGTTTCCCTCTGTGATGTGGTGCATGCACAACACATAGCTTGCTGTCAAAGCACACAACTCAGTGGCCCAAAATGTGGCCAGTATTATGTGGCCACTGCTGACCCTTCCAGGACTCTCACCTTCCCAAGGTGAAGCTCTACCCCATGAACACCAGCCCTGTCCCTGGGCCCCCGCCATCCCACTGTCAGTTTGAGTGACGGTGCCTCCTGCAGCAGCATCACAGGGCACTTGGCTTCATGACTGGCTCAGTCGCCTCCATAATATCTGCCGTGGTCTGAATGTGTCCCCTCAGAATTCAAGTGGAAGCTTAACCCTGCTGGGGGGCTGTTAAGAGTGGGGTTTAGGGAGTGGTCAAGCCCCTTGTGAGTGCCATATGGGACAGTGCTGCAGAGTGCTCAGCACAACTAGGACAGGTAAAAGGGCAGCAGGCAGTCAAGGCAGTGACCCTCCAGAAGGCTTCTCTAAATGTACAGCTACTCCGTGAATTAACCTGTAGGAACATTCCAAAAATCCCAGCTACTCCTTTGTCTCAGAGCATCAGAAAAAGGAAAAGAGGGACAGACCTGAGTGAAGCCTACAAGGGAAAGCCTCAAGGGCACAGTTAGAAGGTCATGGGCCAAACCAATAGTCTGGGCACTTTTCCAATGCCTGATTAACAGTAGTCCTAAGTGGACATTATATCCTGCTGGCTGCTGGCACTCACACCCTTGTGGTGTGGCTACCTGTTGCTGTCCTCTGCTGCATGGGCTGTAACCCCACTGGCCGTTACAGCAGCAGAGGCAAAGAATGTAGTTGCCTGTCCAACTGGTTTCAGCGGCACCATCTTGGAAGCAAAGAGTTGTGATTGGTAACTCTACCCTGGGCTTCCCAGCCTCCAGAACTATGAGAAATACTCTATCAAATACCCAGCCTGTGGTATTTCATTATCAAGGCTCATCCATGTTAGTAGCATTTTAAGAATGTCCTTCCTTTTTAAGGCTGAATGTTCATTTCAGTGTGTGTGGATATCATGTCCTGTTTACTTTTGTTAGTGGACATTCAGATTGTCTTCAGCTGTTGGCTGCTGTACTCCTGCTATGAACACCAGAGTACGGTATCTGCTCATGTGCCTGCTTACCCTCAATTTCAGAGAACTGTTCTTTTGGTTCAAAATACATCAGGGTGGGGTGGGGCAGTTGCTGAAGGAAGTTTAGAGTATTTGCAAGAGTAACAGGTGCTCCTGCAATTGATAAAGACCTTGATGATCACACTACTTCCTGTCTTGGCAGAGTGTACATTCAGTTCTAGAGTTTGGCTGGGAGGAGTGGCACTCGCCTGTGAACCCAGCTCTCTGGAAAGCTGAGAGAGGAGGACCACTTGAGCCCATGAGTTTGAGGCCAGGCTGGGCAACATAGCAGCAAGACCCACTCCCCACCTCTCAAAAAAAAGTCCAGTTCCCAATTTTAGGTGCAAGCCGTGGCACCAACATTTGTTGAGGGAGTTACTGTGCTGGAGCTCATGCTGATCCTACGAAAATCCCATAAAGTAGGCATCACTCTTTGTTTTCATTTCACAAATGGGGAAACTGAGGGAAGACCCGCTAATAGGTGAATCCTGGATTCAGATGCAGGATTCTCTGCCACCACTTTCACATATGGGTTCTCAGGATGTCAGGGTGAAGCCAGGAAAAAAGAAAAAATTTGGGGTAGTATTTTTTTAAAGTAATGCAAATTCATACTCTTGGGTTTCTGGCTTATCACGGCCTGCTTTCACTCGGTTCATTTCACACACGTTTACCCGGAGCTGCCAGGCACACAGGAAAGCAGGGAGCGAGGCTGTTAGTGTCCCCACGTGGACATTTACCAGGGATATGGAAAATATGTAAAGGTGGTCACACGGACTGGACACGGTTTAAAGAGAAAGAGAAGCACTTTTATTATCCTCAGTTCTGGGTACCTTGACAAATAATATTTTAGTTGTATTTTTGGACAAAATGAACCCATACAAAGGTCCATGAAGCTGCACTGTTCTGCCAGGGCAAAGCCCCGGGACGCACGCTGCTCGCCCTCCGCCTGCAGCGAGGCGGGCGCCGGCGCCTTCCCAGGCTGAGGGTCGCTCCGCGGTCTCCAGAGCAACTGCCGCCAGCAGGGCGGTGTCGGACGGCGGGGGCGTGAAAGGACCTCCGCCGCTCGCGTCAGGAACCGGCGGAGTCGGACCGCGCAAGGGCCGCGGCCGCCTTCCTTGCACACCCCCGGGTCTGCTCTCCCCCACCGCCGCGGTCGCCGCGCCCTCCCAGCGGCCCCCGCGGCCGGGGCGGGGCTTCAGTCAGCGGAGCGGGCGCGCGCGGAAGCGTGTCCCTCGCGGCGCGCCGTGGGCGGCGCGGACGGCGGCATGGCGTTCCGGCAGGCGTTGCAGCTGGCGGCCTGCGGGCTGGCCGGGGGCTCGGCCGCCGTGCTCTTCTCGGCCGTGGCGGTGGGCAAGCCGCGCACCAGCGGGGACTCGGAGCCGCGGGCGGCGGAGGCGCCGGCCTGGGCGGGGGGCGCGCGGCCGTGCCGGGGCGTCTGGGACCCCAACTGGGACAGGTGCGCGGGGCCGGCGGGCGGCGGGCTTCCTTCCCCTCGCCCCCGGCGCGAGGCAGCGTGTGGGCGCCCGACAGGTGGACGTCGGCCCGGGTCTGTGCCCGGGGCGGCGGTGCCGGTGCCCGTGCCCGGGGTGCCGGGTCCGTACCTGGGGCGGCTGTGCCCGAGGTGCCAGGGTCCGTGCCCGGGTGCCGGGGTCCGTGCCCGGGGCGGTCGTGCCCGGGGTGCCGGGGCGGCCGTTCCCTGGGCGTCGGGATCCGTGCCCGGGGTCTGTGTGCCATAGCAGCTGTGTCTGGAGTGACAGCGTCCTGTGTTAGGATGGCTGTGACTAGTGGTCCTGAGGGTCCGAGTGTGAGGATGACCGTGCTGGTGCCTGAGGGCTAGTGAGCAAGGAGGGTCCACCCCGCTGAGGGTCCATTTGCTAGGAGGAAGCCAGAGTAAACCAGGCGCTTCTTGGATCTGGTCAGTGCTGTGGCCATCATCTACTTGTCGTTATTGAGCCTTTGAAATGCTCCTGTGATTACACAAGGATTTTTAGTTTTATTTAATGTCAATATAAATTTAAAACCCAAAGCAGTGCAGTTTTTCAATATTTGGTTGAAATAACAGTACTTTTAGTATATTGGATTAAATAAAGTGTATTACTCAATTTCACTTGTTTCTCTTCACTTTTTTAAAAGCCTTTATTTATTTATTTATGTGTGATGCTGAGGATCAAACCCAGTGCCTCAGACATGATAGGCAAGCGCTCTACCACTGAGCCACAACCCCAGCCTCTCTTTATTCTTTTAATGCTGCTACTGGACAACTTAAAATTACATATGCTGCTGGGTTCTATTTCTACTAGAGAGACTGCTTTAGAGGCAGGGATTGGTTATTGTGGGATTTACCCAGTTCCAGTTAAACCTCCTAGGTACCTGCAGCTGTTATCTCTACACTGACACTTAGAAATTGGGCACAGAGGTAATATCATATCCCTAGTTGTATCAGGAATTTCATAGTTATTTTTTTAACCTTTAATTTTATTTATTGGTACTGGGGAATGAACCCAGGGGTGCTTTACCACTGATCTACAACCCCAGACCATTTATTTATTTGCTTATTTAAAAATTTGTTTTCTAAATATTTATTTTTTAGTTGTAGTTTGACACAATACCTTCATTCCATTCATCTCTTTTTATGTGGTGCTGAGGATCGAACCCAGGGCCCTGCATGTACTAGGTGAGCGCTCTACACTGAGCCACATCCCAGCCCCTTATTTTTTATTTTGAGATAAGGCCTCACTAAATTGCTGAGGCTGGCCTTGAACTTGTGATACTCCTGTCTCAGCCTCCAAAGTTGCTGGGATTCTAGACATGTGCCCCTGTGCCTGGCTAATCTTTAATTAAAACACAAACTTATTTTGGAATATTTTACATAATAAAAAAGTTGCAAATAGAATCCTTTTATATCCCACATCTAATTTCCTGTTCTTAACGTTTTAACACTAAGTATGGTAGATTTATCACAATTAATAAGTCTATCCTGATCATTAATAATGGAAGTCTGTGCTTTGTTGAGATAACCTTAGTTTTGCTTTCTGTTCCCAGGTCCCACATGGCAGTTGGTTCTTGGTGTCCCTGGGCTCCTGTTAACTTTGTAGCTTCTCAGACTTCCTTTCATGATGGTGGGGAGGTTTCATGGTGGTCCCTCAGTTGGCGTTTGTCTGATGTTTCTCTTGTGGTTAGACTGTAGTAATTCTCTTTTTTATTTTTTTGTTTGCTTTTGGTATTGGGGATTTAACCCAGGGTCACTTAACCACTGAGCCACATCCACCACCCTTTTTATTTTGAGACAAGGTCTCTCTGAGTTGCTTAGGCCCTTGCTAAGTTGCTGAGGCCATTCTTGAAGTTGTGATCCTCCTGCCTCAGCTCCTGAGCTGCTGGGATCATAGGCATACGCCACCATGCCTAACTCATTCGCTTTAAAAAATCAGAAGAGTGTTCTGAATTTCTCAGGACTTTTAAAGGAAAACATTCACTCTGAGGTCAAAGAACTTGTTTGAAATTAACCTAAAGTTGAGTCCAGCCTTATTTGATTGCAGCAAGGCTCCCTGTTTGCTTGCCATGCTAGACTTCTGGGTGGGGAGATGGGGAAGTCATTGAGCTTGGGGATGGAAGGGCTGGTGGCAGGCAGGGATGCGCAGCACCGTGAAGGTAATATGTAGGGGGCTTGTCTCTTGTGCTCCCACCCCCATACCAGGATATCCCAGAGGTTTGCATGGATAAGTCTCAGGCTCCCCAGTGCCTTCTAACATACCTCTGCTTGGTGTGTGACCAGCACCCCAAGTTAACCCTGCCCAAATGATCCTTGAGTCATGAGGGTCAGTGGCCCTCCAGACCTTCCTCTCCCACCACAGTCTCTACCAGGTAGATTCTGGCCAAGTTCCCTGCCCCCCACATTTAACCTTTAGTACTTTTAGTTCCATGACCCCTACCCCCCAAGTGCCAGTTGATAGCCACTACCCCACTTAAATCAGATAAAGTATGCTTAGATGCAATTATAATTTAATTTAAATTACAGTTGACCTGTGGATACCAAAATCTATGGAAATTCAAATTCCTATGTAAAATGGTGTAGTGTTTGATACAAATGTGCTTTAAATCATACCTAGGTTACTTACAACACCCAATACAGCATGGACCTCATGTAAGTAGTTGTCATGCTATATTGCTTAGGAAACAGTGATAAGAAAAAGAGCCTGCACATGTCCAGTACAGGAGCATCGTCTTCCAAACGTGCCCTTCTGGTGCTGACCGCGGATACCGAAGACTCAGGGGCCACTTGTACTTTGAATTTAAACAGCCCACAGCTAATGGCCTTGGTCAGACAGTGCAGTCCTAGCCTGCAGGCCCCCCTGCACCGCACATGGCTCCCCTTTCTAACACTGGCCCTGAGTCCTCCTGTCCATGGCCTGCTCATCCTCACTGGGCCACACCTTGCAGGAAGGCTCTCCCAGGCACAGAACAGGCCTGGCTACAGCTGTGAGGTGGACGGGGTGTGCAGGCGTTACCCCCGGCTGCCTTGGCTTCTCTGGAGAAGTCACTGTCTTGGCAGAGTTCTCACAGGGGTCTGTAACAGAGGCCACAGCACATGCTGTCGTATCTTTTTTAAAAAATATTTATTTTTTAGTTCTAGTCGGACACAATACCTTTCTTTTTATTTACTTATTTATATGTGGTGCCGAGGATCAAACCCAAGGTCTCACACTTGCTAGGCCAGCACTCTACCACTGAGCCACAACCCCAGCCCAGCCATCGTATCTTTAATACTAGGCGAGAGCCACTCTCTCTGGTCAACCTGCGGAAGAGGAACGTGGAATCTGGAGAGGAGGAGCAGGCGTCCAGGCTGGACCACTACAGGGCGAAGGCCACAAGGCACATCTTCCTCATCAGGCATTCCCAGTACCACATGGACGGCTGCCTGGAAAAGGACCGCACTTTGACCCCACTAGGTATGTGCCTAGGTCTTTTGCCCAGCTGATCCCCATGGTCAGCCTTGAGGGTGTTGGGGCATGGGTCCCCTTGAACCTTCAGGGACCACTAGCCCAGACTTTGACATCATCATTACCTGTGATTTTCAGCTGAACTTGGACAGGAGACAGGCTTCTTAATGTGCCTGTGCCAGAACATACAGGGCTGAGGTTGGCTCATTGTCACGGCGCTTGCCCAACATGGGGGAGTCCCTGGTTCCATCCCTAGCACTGAAGGAAACACTCAAGCAAATACCGTGGTGTCTTGATGCATGAGGTCAGGCCCAGTCCAGCAAGGCTTATGCTCTTGTTGCTCCAGAAGTGGCGCCTCTTACACTCTGTGCCAGGCTCACGGCCCAGCCTGCAGACATCTGCCCAGCACCTGCAGGCTGTCCACAGCATCTGGGTGGCTTGCTGGGCAGCAGTGTCTCGTGCCTACAGGTGCACCTGTGGAGAAATCCTGGAAATGGAGATGCAAGGGGTGTGGGGAGAGTCTAGACTCAACCTTTGTAGAGGAAGGGTCTCTCTGTGTTGCCCAGGCTGACCCTGAATGCCTGGGCTCCAGCGATCCTCCCACTTCAGCTTCTCCAGTAGCTGGCCCTGCAGACACTGTTCTTGTGCCTGGCTGAGCTTAGTCTGAACAGTTCCTCTGTTTGGATGGGGTCTCCCCATCTGTGCTCATATGGAAAAATTTGATAGTGAAAGGGTTTTCTGGCCTGCTCTCCTGCTCTTGTGAAGACTGCTCCTTCCCTGAAACACTGTACAGACAGGAAGGGAAGCGCCAAGTGCAGAGGTCTCTGCATCTGACAGAGACTGACTTCCTGGCGATTTCCAGCCAGATGCTAAAATACATTTAAAAGAAAGCACCTATATTTGGAGCTGCTTGGTGCTCAGTGATACTGAATCCTCAGTGCGTATGTATTGGCCACCAGGGTGTCACACGGCCGGTGGCTATCATGGTGCTCTACGCTGTGTGGACTTGGTTGAGGCAGAGTAAATCCTGCCTGGACTCCAACAGTGGGGCACATCTGCTCCTTACTGCTAATAGACTGAGGTGTATTTTTCTGCATGGGGTTGAGGACAGTTGAATTGATGATCTTATTGGCATTGCTCATTGAGGCCCTAACCCCTGCTAGGCCCAGGACCGTGGGGGGCATGTGATCCTATGTGGGTGTCACTGGCTAAAGGAGGGATCAAGGTATGTGTGGTTCTGGGGTATTTGCCTTCAAGGTCGGGAACAAGCTGAACTCACGGGGCTCCGACTTGCCAGCCTGGGGTTGAAGTTTAGTAAAATCATCCATTCCTCCATGACCCGTGCGGTGGAGACCACAGACATCATCAGCAAGCACCTGCCAGGTAAGTGTGGGCCAGGGGCCTCTGCACAGGACCAGTGCAGCCTGGGGTGTATGCTGCCCACAGGGGAGGGCCCAGGGTGGCTCCTGGAGTGGACAACACTGTGCTCCTCCTCAGGCGTCTCCAGAGTCAGCACAGACCTGCTGCGGGAAGGTGCACCCATCGAGCCCGACCCTCCTGTGTCTCACTGGAAGCCAGAGGCTGTGGTAAAGACACTGCCCCATGGGTCACTGGGGCAAGGGCTGGGCGTACCTTCTGATAGCCACCTCGCCTTGCTTCCCCCTGATGGTCCTCACTTTGCCCCCAGCAGTATTACGAAGATGGTGCCCGGATCGAGGCTGCTTTCCGGAACTACATCCACAGGGCAGATGCCAAGCAAGAGGAGGACAGCTATGAAATCTTCATATGCCATGCCAATGTTATCCGCTACATTGTCTGCAGGTAGGCACTGCCTGGCCCACAGGGCTGGAGGGTGTAGACCTAGAGAAAAGCCCAGACCACAACCCGTCCCTTCCCTTTGCCGCCTGCCATCTCTGTGGGTGTGTGGCTGCCCCTCTGTCTCCTCTGGGAGCTTCCGGGCCTTGTCACACAGCTGGAGAGTCCTGGTCAGCTCTCTGGTGGAAAACATCTGTGAGGTGGGGTTTCTCTGATTGTTTTGGCAGAACAGCACAGGTGGACGGGGCCCTGGTGTCAGAGGGTCTTCTGGGTGGACAGGTAGAGCTGCCGTGGTCAGGGTACTGTATGCTGGGCTTCCAACCCTTTGGTGTTGGAGAGATACCTGGGACTGTGCAAAAACCCTGTTTCCCCTCAAGCTGGTGCCAGCGTCTGGGAGGGTCTAAGGGGACCCTGGCAACAGTCACCAAGACCAGCTCGGAGGGGATTCTGCTTCCTGCACTCTTTGTTCCTCCCTGAACACCTTCTGAGGGCTGCGCCTCTTCCTTGGGTGTGTTGAATTGTTTGTTTCTTCTCTCTTGCCTTTGAGGGGCTGGAGATAGAGCCCGGGGGCTTGAACACCTAGGCCACCGGGCCATTTCCCAACACTGTGACTGCCCGTGCCGGTGTCTGCTCTCTGGGTCGTGAACTGTGACTGTGCTGGTCACAAGTGCGACTTGTTTGCTGCTCAGGCTGCTCTGCGGGGTCACCTGTGTTTTGGACCTTCCCTACACTCTGGTACCATGGAATATTCTGGGCTTGTATGTTTGGGTTTTTCCCCCCCCTGATTCTGGGGATTGAACCCAGGGGCACTCTACCACTGAACTACATCACCAGGCTTTGTTATTTTTTTATTTTGAGACAGGGTCTTGCTAAGTTACCAAGGGTCTCACTAAATTGCTGAAACTGGCCTCAAACTTGGAATCCTCCTGCCTTAGCCTCCTGAGTCACTGGGATTATAGGTGTGTGCCACTGCACCTGGCATGACTCATGTATTGTATTGGTCTTAGCTCTGGAATCAGCCTGTTTTCCATGAATGCCAGAGCAGCGTCTATGTGCCCCTTGATGGGAAGGCTCTTGCACTTCAAATATGTAAAAGGACTGACCAAATTTCAGTAGAGTGCAGACTTTGAGAAGCAGTGGAAGCCTGTCTCCACCCGTGGACCCACTAGAAAACATTCAGCAGGGCTTCCGTCACCAAGGACTGCCTCTCCTCTGCACCCAGAGTCTGGTCAGTGGTACTGTCTGGAGTGAGGCGGTCTCTCTTCCTGTCTGTGGTATATCCACAGGGCTGTGGTGACCCATCTGCTTAGGCATCCCATATGTGGTCCAGCTAGAAGCCCAAGGATGGTGGAGGATCCCCAGAGTCAGAGAGTGCCCCCCGCCCCCGCCCGCAACGCACAAAGCTGTCGGGGAGTTGGGATCCTCCCCTGGCTCATGGTGGCAGGAAGGGATGCGGCTGGTGGCAGGGTGTTGTGCTCAACCTGCAGCAAGAACAAGGTTCCCGGGATGGCCCGTCCCCTGTCTGCTGGACCTGTGTCGTGCACTTCCTGCCTGTGATCAGGCCATTCTGGTACTCTGTGTGCTCCTGTTGACACCACATTATCTTGTGAACCCTGACAGTTATGGGAGGTGACCCTGATGCCAGGATGCACCAGAAGCCCCGTGAATGGAGTTCCCCAGGGCAGTCAGGGCGGCCACGTAGTCACGTGGTCTCCACTGTGCTGTCTATAGGAGCACGCCCTGCAAACTATGAGGGGTGATACTGAGAGGATTTTAAAAAGCAGCATGGAGCCACAGTGGTGCACGACTGAAATCTCAGGAGGTTGGAGCTGGAGGATCAAAAGTTCAAGGCCAGTCAGCAACTTAGACCCTTTTTTTTTTCCTTAATGTTTTTATTAGTTGTTGATTGTCCTTTATTTATTTACTTATATGTAGTGCTAAGGATTGAATCCAGTGCCTCACACATGCTAGGCAAGTGCTGAACCACTGAGCCCCAGCCCCAGCTAGACCCTTATAGCTCAGTGGAGAGGCATCTTGGGTTTCAATCCCCCGTATTAAAACAAGGAAAAAAAAAAAACAAAAACACATTCACCAAACCCGCAGCAGAAAAATGTCACCATGTCCACTGGGTTTGAGGATCAGATTGGCTTCTGAAGCATGAAGGACATTTGGTGACTCAAGGAAGATGTGATACTGAGCTTCTTAGCAAGTGTTTTTTGTTCCTAATAAGCACTTTTAAGGGCATGAAAATGCTACAGGGTTGTGGATTGCACCTCCATCCCCTGGCACAAAACATTGAATTTTATGAGAAATGGATCTAGTATACTTTGTCCTCTCACTTGTTACATTGTAAAGAAGAAATGAAATTGCATGCCCTGCAAGGAACTTGTTTGTGCTGATCACACAGCTTGAGTCTGGTGGAGCCCTGGTGGATCCAGGGGCCCTTTCCTCTGAGCACCCTTGGGGGACCAGCTCCCCCTCCAAGGGACCAGCTGAAGTGTCTGCTCTGCTCTGGTGCTCCAGGGTCTGGGCCTTGCCTGTCCCTCAGGGCACTGGCCCCCTCTGCATGAGCTTCCTCTGGCATGTTCTTTCTTCCCGCAGAGCGCTGCAGTTCCCTCCAGAAGGCTGGCTCCGTCTCTCCCTCAACAATGGCAGCATCACCCACCTCGTGATCCGACCGGATGGCCGAGTAGCACTCAGGACCCTTGGGGACACGGGGTTCATGCCCCCCAACAAGATCACCCGGTCTTGAGGGCCCCTCTGGGACTCCACCTTTCTCTGCGTGCAGCCTGGTTCAGCCTTCCCTCTTGTTCCTTGTCCAGGCTGCAGTGCAGCTTTGAGGAAGAGGCTGTGGGAACATCTCAGATGCTGGGGACACTTGTGTCTGGCCCACTGAAAGGGAGACCTTCAGGCCAGACAGCCTGACTTCCTTCCTTTGGCCTGCCAGGACAGCCCCATGGGTGTGGGGTGAGGACTTTCTCAGGCAAGAGGACAGCCTGTGCTGGGCTTTGAATAAGCCCTGCTTGCCATCCCTCTGGACCACCATGGCAGGCCTGCATGGGTGGCCACAGCAGCAAGTGACTCTGGGCTCCGCCCAAGCTGGTGCAGCAGGACAAGCTTTCTAAACAACTCATTTCATTCACATGTTCTTATTCTGAAAAGCCTTTGTCACTTCAGTGTTCGTCAATTAAAACCTATTCCTCATTTGGGTTCTTGCTTTGAAAACCAATTTCTCACCAGAGTGAGAGATCCTGACGCTGTAGGATCTAAAGGCACAGGGACTGGCCAGCCGCACAGTGGATTTGGGTGAGAGAGGAAGTGAGTCTGGAGTGCCATGTCCAGGGGCTGGCCACACCAGGCAGAGACTGCGGGCTTGTGATGGCCAGGCAGGGAAGATACCCAGGGCTGACATCTCCATCCTAGTCTGCTCCTGGCCACAGTTCATCTTCTGGGCTTGTGGGTTAACATTTGGACATGATATGCCTACCCCAAATATCTGTTAATTCAACAAAAGCAGTCCAGTTTTTACGAAGTGCTCACGAACACTTTCAGTAATCAATACAATGAATTGGGATATTTGATCCATTTCTCTGGCCTCTTTGGAAATAACTACATAATAAAATTTTAAAAGTACAAATCGTGATTGTTTTAAAGAAAACGGGAAACCTGTGCCGGGACACAGCAGTGGCGTCACTAGAAATCCCTTTCGATGGGCGCTTGTCTGTCCTCAGCCTGGGTACCTCAGCGTCCTGCCACTCCGAGGCAGGGCCGCACTAGGGCCCGCCTGTGCGGAACTTGGCGCAGGACGTGTGTGTCGCCCGGACGCAGGGCTGCGGGGAAGCCTCCGCTTTTGCACACGCCCTGCTTGGATGCCTAGTCCATTCCGAGGTGCAGTCTCCTCCCTGGACCTCGGAGCCGGCAAATGGGAACCAGACACAGTTCAGGGTGGTGGCAGGCCAGGGTCTCCTCCTCCACACTAGCCACACCTCGCCTCAACTCACCCGGTTCGGCTCTGACCTGGCCCTTCACCTCCGCCTCACTCCGCCCTTGCCCTTCACCTCCGCTCTGCTCCTCACTTTTGGGTCGCGCAGAGTCCATCTCATATGGAGATGGAGGACCTGGGATTCTGAGTAGCCTGGAGCAGAGGAGCTGGAATGAGACCTTGGTAGAAAGACTTAGAAGGACGTAAGTCACTGGATGACCAGAAGAGCTAGCAATCTGCAGATGCTCCTGCAAGAAATCCCCAGAATGAAAACTGCTGACCTTACATTTGAAGTCAAAGATGTGAAACGGCTTCAGGTTTTGTCTGGAAAGTTATGCCCCTTTCTAGGAGCTCGCAGCGATTGTGCCCTGTATGAAGCTTCGTTGTTGTTCGCTTTTTTCCCTTTGGTACCAGTGGTTGAACTCAGGATTAACCACTGAGCACGTACCCAGACATTTTTTGATTTTATTTAGAGACAGGGCCTCGCTAAGTTGCTGAGGGCAGCTGTGACCTCGCAGTCCCGAGCCGCCGCCATCACAGGCGGGCGCCACCATATAAATTCCCAGCAGACTTTCTTCTCCACCGTTCCTTGTGTTTGCTGTTCGGAGTGGTCTTCCCCGCTCGCCTTCTCAGTGGTAAGGACCGGGCCTCAGTCCTGGCGGTGGGGATGGCTGCTGGCTCCGCGTAGCAGGGTAACTCCTGAAGGCTGGATATGGAGAAGGCAGAGGGGCAGGGCGCCAGAGTCTCTACAGCATCCACACCCACGGAGGGACCTCACCATTTGGATGGCTTCATTCCAGGGTCTCTAGGACACTGACGTGGGAACCAGCTATTTGTTCCTCTCATGCTGGGGACAGAAGCCATGCCCCTGGCTCGGGATGGATGGGGATTTCTTAAACAGTGGGAACAGCAGTCCCTCTATCTGAAACAAAACTTGCACGACCTGATGGAACTGGACTGAGATGGCAGCTGGTACCCCAGGACTGCTCAAGTGGATGCTTCAAGTGACGCCCACACTAGGCCCTGATCAGTCCTTGTCCAAGAAAGCTGTGAATGTTTCTGGAGAGACCTATCATCATTCAAAAGGATCTGGCTATGGTCCCTGCCAGCGCAGAGGGCACTTGTTTTAGTGGCACCTGAGCTTGCTTTTCCCCTGAAAAGAGGAGTGGGGACTTGTTCTGGATTCCACCCACCCACCTCTTTGTGGGGAGTATCTTACATCATCATCTTCAAACCGAAGACTTCCCGGAGCCATCCTTCAACTGTGCAAGAACTAAAAACAACATGGAAGATGTTAGGCCGGAAAGTCTGGTACCTGGGAACTCCCAGCAGAACTCCTGCTGGTTTGAGACTGCCCAGTACATGTGGCTTCCTATCTAGCTCCGAGTTCAGCACTGCACTGGAGATGGGTGACAAGCTGGAGCCACATAGCCTCCTGGAGATGGGTGTAGCTTGCCAAGATGCCAATCAACCTGTTTGCTGCAAGTCCCGTCTTTGATGTGCTCCCTTAAATAAAAGACCAGAGCCATTTTTCAGTTGTTTAGTTCCAGAGCCTATGTGGACTGGAGGACCTATTAGGCGCTCCGTCTCCTTTAAACCTTTTTTCCTGGCTCTCTTATTCTTTACTAATCATTCTCTGGTGGCTCACACCTACCCTGATGGGGTGCCAGCTGTCCTGTGATAGAAGATTACATGCCATCTCACAAAAAGAGGCCTCCCACTGCCAAATGCAGCTATAAAGTTTGTGCTACTTTGATACCAGTGTTTCTTACAACTGTGTAAGTAAAGAAAGGGGAAGAAAAAGGCAAATAAGCTGGGCATAGTGGTGTGTGCCCATAGTCCCAGCACTGTGGAGGCCAACGTGGGAGAACTGCTTGAGTCCAGCAGTTCCAGAGGCCAGCTGGGCACTACATGGAGACCCCATCTTAAAACAAAACCAAAAGACCCCAAATGATAATCCCAACTAAATCAATCCCTCAGGTAAATGTACTGTTTCATCAAAACACTGCTCAAAGTTTCACTAAAAAACATTCTGCCCAGCCACAGGTGAGAGATCTTTTGAAGGCATGGTGTAAAAATAAACTTACTTCATTTAGTAGTTTTTTAAAAGGACACAAGATCACCCAGGAAACAAAGCATTTACTGAGGATAGGTTCAAACAAATGGAGAAATAGTCAAAGGGGCCTCCTAAAACTACAGAAAACAGGAGTCTGTAAAATTAGAGCAAAAACTATTTAATTTCAATCTGCACATTTACAACAATATATAGAATAATAAGGTAAGACTTTGGAGAAAACAGAGCATCTCTGTGAGTGTAATATCCATGTTTTGATTTTCCAGAGCTTGTCTGTGGCACAACAATGAAAACACCCTGTGTGACAAACCTGGATTTAAGACCTAAATATTAATTCCAATATTCCCAACTAAAATGTTTATCACATGAAACAAAACTTTTTTCTTTACACAGTTTAATTCAGCAATTTTACATATGAAAAGGAATACCTACTTAATATTATTTTATAGTCTCAAAAAGTAAATTCGGGACAATTAAAAATGATTTACAAAAGGCACTAAGGTTGGCAAGAGCAGCAGCAGTTTTCGTTTTGGATCAAACACTGGACATGTCCACAGAATGCTGTGTGGGAGCCACTGTCCTGACACCTGGAAGAGACTGGCCTGCTGCAAGGCCACCCTACCTCAGGCACCCTGACAGCTGGCAGTGTTTCCTGCTCCCCACATGCTCTAGGGACAGACCTTCCCCAGGCTGGTGCCAAGGGAAAAGGTTAACGTCAACACCACAAGTAACTGGAACGGACTTAAATTTTGGTTTCTGTACTGCAGCAAAACGCTCTTTTCAAGGAAATCCAATTGAAATGAATTCTAAACGTGGGATCCACTTGTATAATCTGCAATAGAAAAATTTATGCTTAACTAATTCTCAGGACAAATTTCAAAGCTAGGGAACAGGTTACAGATTAATGGTCACTACCAAGCTGGTGACTAAGGGAAGCAGAGGGACAGCTCATGTGCTGGTGAGTTTTCTGACCATCTGCATGGATCCCAATAGCTACACATTTTTTTCCAAGAGAAAAGCTACTTTCACCTACTACTCTGATCAGCAGTGTTTTGAACACCACTGAGTATCTGACACAGGCAAGCTCACTGGCTCCCTGTTGCCCATCCAGGAAGACTTGCAGACCATTCATGTTGGCCATTATCCTGCACCAGAATGCAGCTGCCCCAGAAAAGGCAAGATAACATGCAGCTCGCCCTTGTCTAGGTGAGCACTGACTTCCCTAGCACATACAAAAAGACACAAGAGGCAGCCAGTCCAGCCTTCTAGTAGAGGCAAGCACAAGAGCTACAGGGTGATGCTGACCTCAGGGCCAGTCACCTCTCGTCCATAGCGCCTGCTCAGTATTGGGAAGTGATGGCCACCTGCTGTTTAAGGGCCTTTGCACCTTTGCCCAACAACAAACCCGGGATCATTACTTGAAACACGTATCTGAGTGTACTTTTGTTAACTTCTTCCATTTATCAGAAATGTAAATTTTATTTAGAACATTTGCATTTCTAAAATTATACCCTCAAAGTGAGGATTAATAAATTATTCAGAATATACTCCTTTATGAAATTTGACCAATAAGCCTAGGAACCCCAAGCCTCTGTAGCAAGTGCCAACCCTACAGGGCTGTGAGCTGGGCCATGTGTGCCACCCTGCGGAGATGGCTCCCGTGTACAGGGCTATAGCGCCTGGGGCTTCCCAGGCCCGGTGAACAGGAAGCATGGCTGAGTTTCCCAGGGCTGCTGCCGGCTGCACCGCTTCGCACTGGATTGTAGCTGTGAGGGCATCCAAGATCTGGCAGCTGAGACTTGAACTTTCCTTTCAGTGCAGGGCTTGGCCAACTACGGAAACCAGAATAAGATCTGTTACCTCAGCGGCACACCTGCAGAGTGGAGGTTCAAGGAGAACAGGCTCTGGGACCTGATACACACACCATGCCTGGACAGGGGCCACCACAGTGCAGAGGGGGCGCTCCTGAACCTAGGGCCCTGGGCACTGGAAGGTGAGGAATGTGCACAGGCAGATGTTCCAAAAAGAGGTGTGTGACCTTGACTGCAAACGTGGTTGCTGTCACCCTGAACACTCAAGCAGCTGTTCTCATTTTCCCCCAACTGGAGACATATCCCATGTGAGAGTCATGGCCATGTGGAACCCAGGCCCACGTCCAAGGACTGCATATGGTGGCCTGGCCAACGGGACTGCAATGGGGCAGGACCACCAGTCTCCAACCACAGCCACCCCAGACCTCAGTTCCAACAGCGACCACATGACAGACCCTCCTCACCTCTGCCTGTCTGAGGGGGAATAGCACAGGACAGTGCTCTTCCATCTATGCACAGCTGGGAACCGATAAGGGTCGACATCTGCACGTTCAAGAGCTGCCAAGACATCCCGGTCGAGTTTTGATGGCTCCTCTCTAGAATGCATAATAAAAGGATACAAGAAAATGCAGAAACACCCGTGATTCCGCTACTTAGGAGGTGGAGGCTAGAAGATCACAATTCCAAGGCCAGTCTGAGCAACTCAGTGGTAGCACTACTGGGTTCAGTCTCCAGTACTGCAAAACAAAAACAAAGCCTCTCAAAACATCATTAAACTCTAGAACCCAGCAAGTGAACAGAATGGTGTACAAGAACCAAACTGACTCGGGCACGTGAACCATGAAATCATTCCCACCTCAGGGATCAGCTGGAGGGAGCAAGAGGTTGGTTGACAGGGCATGGCAACCCCACTGTCCTGTGCTGAGAATGAGGAGGTTAAGGAGAAGGTCACTAATCAGCTGGCCCCACACTGGCACATCTATCCTGCTATGGACAGGAAGCTCTGCCTACTAAAACAAATTTATTCTTAGGGCAGACCTAGTCCTGGTGGCACTGACTTCCCTAGCATATAACAGCAGACACGAGAAGCAGCCAGTCCAGCCTTCTAGAAGATAGCAAGAAGGTGCACACTCCTGCCAGGGCAGCTGCATACACCTGTGGCCCCAGACACGCAGGAGGCCAAGTCCCAGGCCAGCCTGGGCAACTTAGCGAGACTCTGTCTCAGAGTGAAAAAAAAAAAAGGCTGGGAGATGGCTCAGTGACAGAGCACCCCTGGGTTCAATCCCCAGTACCAATTAAAAAATGAAAGAGCTATGAACTCAAGACAGAGAGGAACCAGAGTGTACATCAAATCAAACTGTGGCGAAGGGTGAGAGGAACTACAGACAGTGCCACCTGGGCAAAGAGCGCCACGCACTTACCCAAAGAGGAACAGTCTCCTGGTGCTGTCCCTTGTGGAGGGGGAGAATGCAGACAGGGGTGTGGGCTGGGACTGAGGTCCGCACGTCTGCTGGTTTCCCCACTCAGGACTGTTGGGGTCCAGGGACATCTTTGCCAGACCAGCTGACATCTCGCCATCTGTCCTCATCTGGTCATTTCCCAGTCCGACTGCAGCAGCAGGCGGTATGTCCTTTCTTGAAGTCAGGATCTGATCTTTAGTTTTCATATTTTTATTTGCTGTCTTGGAAAGGCTATCTCTTAGATTTCGCAAATCCATTTTATCAAACTCAAGAGTCAAACTGGAGACAGGTGACAAAAGGGCCTCCTCTCCACTGAGGGCCTCTGGTTTCTCCACGCCTGGGATCTTGCTATGGGTCAAGGGACTGCAGAACTTGTTTCTGCTGGTGTGGGGATGGTGCTGGTCTGAGGCTCCCACTGGGTCTGCCTGCTGCCCCTGGGAAAGGCCACTGTGCTCCAAGTTTCCAAAAGCACTGACTGTGGGCTGGCTCTGATGTGGAGCTGCATTCTGCCCATTTGTAATTTCTTCAAAGCTCACGTCATTGTCCTCATCTAGAAATGCCCCCACAGAAATGGAATTGCTGCACTTCTTCCTGCTACCTGTGAGGGTGACAGAGTGGCACTTCAGAGGCCTGAGTGATCCTCAAGTGCACTGCAGACCTGGGACCCACGCAAGAAACCACCCTTTAACCCATAATCTCACCAGATTTCAAGGCAGAAACCACCTGCACTACCCATGGGAAAGGGGGAAGGCGAGACACCACAAGCCGATACGAGCTCCTGGGCCACCCCCCTCAAGGGCAGGAATGGCTGTGGTGGGCACCAGCTCACACCAGCTCACACAGGAGCTGAGACCCTGCTGGGCCCTGAAACAGCACCCAGAACAATCCCCTAAGAACCACCACATCCTCTCCCTGTGGGTGGTGTGCAGAAGCACTACCTGAGAGCAGCACGTCCTCCCGGGATGGAAATGCTGTCAAGGCAGTGGCCACTCGAATGTGGTCCATGCTTCTCAGGAAGGAGCTTATCTGACCTTGGCTGACTGACACAGCCACATGGAAAGGTCTCCCACTGATTGTTGTCATTGTTTACACATCTTTCATTATAGCTAAGCCTTGTTTCACATCATTCATCACTTTTCCGAAGCGTGATTTTAAGTTCTGTGCAGGAACACGACAGTGCATTCAGCCAGTCCCACCCTGCTGAGCACTGAGCAGTGTCAGCCTTTCGCTGCTTCACAAGCAGGGCATGCGAGCATCTCCTCTCCTGCAGAGACTCTGGCTGGGCGCGGTGGTGCACGCCTTTAATCCCAGCAGCTTGGGAGGCTGAGGCAGGAGGATCGCAAATTCAAAGCCAGCCTCAGCAATGGCAAGGCACTAAGCAACTCAGTGAGACCCTGTCTCTAAAAACAAACACAACAGGGCTGGGGATGTGGCTCAGTGGTTAAATGCCTCTGGGTTCAAGCCCCAGTACCAAAAAAAAAAGAAAAGAGAGACAGAGACTCTGGACTGAGCAGACTATTGCCCAGAGGCAGGCCTGCCCTGTCTGGGCCTGGAAGGAAGCCATCCCAACAAGGGGTGCGTTTAAAGGTCTGTGTGACACTAGGGAGATACATGCTTTTATTTCCACTGGAAATATGTTTATGTCCATTTCATTTTTGGGGTATTTTAAAACTTTTCTCTTACTTATATTTAAGAATGTTTTACATCAGTAGGGATTGAACCTGGGACCCCCTGCATGCTAAGCACGCACTCCACCCGCAGCTGCACCCAGACCTGACTTCTGTGCTGATGGTGCTGCTGACATCTGTGGGCTGCCCTGCACCCTGCGGTCTGACAAGGAGGCTGCCATTCCAGAACTTGGCCTTTTCCCTGCAGTTATGCAATCTACTCAAGGATAAAGGTATGTTTAGAAAAACTACATGAGAAACATCACATCTAAAACAACATGAGCTGTTCTGCACTTTGGAAAAACAGCCCAGAGGGAAGCTTCTGGGTAAGAACAAGAGCCAGAAGCACATGCTGCTTGTTGCTGGTATGTATGTTTTAACGTGCACCTGTACAGACACCCCAATGTGAGTCCGAGGAAAGTGCCCATTATTACAATAAAAACACAGGAGAGAAGAGAGACAGATGGACGCTCCCCGAGGGGCTGCAGCTTCCCCAAATCATACTTGCTCACCAGAAGTCGGGGCTTGGTCTCGGGGGCAGGCCTCCTTTCTGCTCATTTCCTGCTGAGCAAGATACTCTTCCAGTCTCTGCAGGCCCTCCTGGGAAGACAGGTCAACAAAACAGCCCAGAAATTCCCAGTATTCAACCCAGGGATACCCCAGCTCATGAGCTAGCTCCCTGTAAAAAATAAAACACAAGTATACCAGTTGAGAAACAGGAAAAAATACCCACAGAACCAAATGCACAGAAAATAGCCACCTGATGTCTTAAGCAGTGTCTGCGATCTTGGGCATGATCTTGTGCTATCTCTGGTCTGAGGTGCAGCCCGGGTGGAGTTCTTACCTATTATGCACAACGCTGTGGGCCCACTACCTGGCACTGGGGCCAGGCTGTATGTATTTTATCCTAAACTTGGGACTAAAATTAATTTTACATTTTTTAGTACTTCTTCACCAGGGTGAGACCTAGCAGTGTCCCTTGAGGAGCTGCTGGTGATGGAGTGGACCACACACAGTCAACTCAAAGAGTCCAAAGCCCCAGGTATCCTCACACCACCCTACTTCACAGAAAAAAGGTCACAGAGCAAGAGCCCACCAACACATATGCTTTTTTTAGCCACGTACATAAAATTTAAAGGCCCTTTGTAGGTTCAAGCTGTAAACTTCAAATTGGACACTTATTTTGAGAAAAGGTCTCAACAATCCAACAAAGTTTTATTTAATTCCACTATAATTTAGCTTTGCCTTTGTGGACTTTGTTCCATCACAAGTCACCTCTTGTGTTTTAAGCAGAAGGCGCTTAATCTTTTTTTTTTTTTCCTCAAAGGAAATACAATACACAGAGTACCTTATACAAAATGTTAAGATCTCACAGAAAAGTTGTAGGACTGCTCAAAGATTGGGAAGGGAATGTTTTATCTTATGGTTCTGCAAAGCAAACTGCAGCATGTGTAACATTTGCAAAGTTTTTCCTTCCTTCTTTTTGGCAGTAACAGGGACTGAAGCCAAGATGCTCAACTACTAAGCTACACCCCCAACCCATGTTCTGAGACAGGGTCACTAAGGTGCTGAGGCTGGCCTTGAGCCTGTGATCCTCCTGCTTCTGCCTCCCAAGTCCCTGGAATTACACCACAGAACCTGGTTCTGCAATGTATTTAGCCTTGAAGAAAAGAAGCTCCCAGAAAGTGTCTTCAGAAGACTGTTATTCTGAAGCAGCCACAGTCAGGCTCCTGGTTGTCAATCAGTAAGTAACCACACCGCACACGCTCCTGCACCACTTGCAGCCTGGTGGAGCTCCCCCAGTACCTTCCCACTCTCTCAATGCCTCTTTCTGGGTCAGATTTCCTGACGCTGTGGAAGAAGCTTGCTTTCTCTCGAGGTGGAGTTTTCCAGAGTCTCCGAAAGTCTTCTGCCTACAAAGAGAGAAGTGTGGTCACACTGTGGCTTGTGCCGATCACCCAGCACTCAGAACCAACATCAGGCAGACCCCATAGCCATCTCCACGACTGTGCCCATATCCTCTAGCAGCCTGCAGCCATGTGGCTGCCTGTCTTACAGCCAGGAGAGGCCACCCGACTGCAGTCAGCCCCGGCCCAGAGGGCCCAAGGCAGAGGCCTAGTCCCGAGGTCAGCAGGCCTGGCTGAACTGCCCTCCCTGGTACCATGTCTTCCTATCACACAAGACAACAGATGCCGTCTCCTGAGTCACTTTTACTAGAGCTCTGATTAATTCAGCTCATATAACTCATCATGGAGACATTTTAAAAAATGTCTCCAAACAACCAATAACTTAGAGAAGTTTATTTATTTTGAGACAGTATTTGGCTAAGTTGTCCTGGTTGGGCTCTAAAGTGTCACCTCTTGCCTCCATTTCCCAAGTAGCTGGGATTATAGGCCTGCACTATCACACTGGCTTATTTAGAAAGCTTTTAACAAGAGATTATGTACATGTCAGTGTATAAAATTTCACTGGAGAAAGAGCTACCAATGGTATTTTGACTTAAAAATGTGCATGACCTTTGACCTAGCAACACCACTTGTTAGGGACTCACCTGAACACCAGGAATGTGGGTACAAACCAGCAGCTTCAGCTCAGGGGCAAAGGAAGGGGCTGCTAGAAGCTCAAGCTCTGGGAGCAAAGGGTGGGAGGTGCAATCAGGGGAAAGAGTGGGATGTGAGCTTGCGAGGGGTCCCGAGAGACACTGGATAGCCGCCCTGGCCTGGCAACGCATGCAGCATGAGCTGGGTGCTCAGAGACAGGAAAACCACACTGGATGGCACAGGAGGGGCTGGCCAGGTAAACTGGTGTATTGAGAGGTGGGCTCCCAACACACACACACCCAGCTGACAGTTGAGCAACACGGCAAACGTCCCAAAGCCTTGCCATCACCTCGGAGTAAACAAATTCAGATGGAACTCTGGGTTCCGCAGGACTAGGTTTCCACGACCAAGTCAAAGCACGGCTGGAGCAGCCGGCACTGCGGCATGGGGACAGCCAGAACAGCAGTTCACCTTGGCTGGACTCAGGGGCCCTGCGAAGGCTCTCAGGGTCAGCACAGGTTCTCTGGGGTCACTTCCACAGTGGCTGGTGTTTGAGGCCTCGGCCGTCTGGTCTGAGGACCATAGCTCCCCGATGACTGGAGAGGAAGTGTCTTCTGCTCTCAGAAGTGGCACGTAGTAGTGACCTGAGGAAGAACAGGCATCAGCCACAGGCTCCTGCTTCCTGGCCTGACAGAGGGACCAGGTTCCTGTGTGCTCTGGGCAGGATGCAGGGAATGTAGTAAGCCTCACATCTTCCTGAGGAAAGCAGTGGGGAAGGAAGGAGACTGTGGAAGACAGGCCAGAGGCAGCTGGGGGAGAAGCTGGCATCTCATCCCTGCCACGCAAGTGGAGGCAAGCGGGGCACTGCCCATCATGACCCAGAGGTCACCTGGGCATTTACTTTACATGCTTATGATAGTTTTTACGCCCTGCAGCTTTTTCATCACAGAAGTACTGTATGTTCACCTAGAGGATCCCCGAGACCACAGCAACAGAAACACTGCATCTCACATTGGAATGTCCAAGATTGCAATGCATCTTGCATGTATTTCACAAGTAACTGACAGGTTCTTCTTTTATTAGACATGAAATAGTGTTTTTTTTTTTTTTGGTGGGGGGAAGCATATTGTAAAATTTACCTATTATTTGTAAAAATACTAATTTTATTTTGGGGGGATATTCAAGTCCTTTAAAAATTTGGGGGTTTCGTAGGATGTTTTGGTGATGGGAATCAAACTCAGGGCCTGGAACATGCTAGGTACATACTCTACCACTGAACTACACCATCGGTTCTTAAAATGTTTATCTACAGGGTTGGCAATAGATCAATCGCCTGGCATTTGTGGGGTCCTGGGATCCATCCCTGGCATCCGAGGAAAGAAAAATTTTATCTAGGGGCTGGGGGTGCAGCTCAGTGGTAGAGCGCTTGCCTTGCATGTGTGAGGCACTGGGTTCAATCCTTAGCACCACATAACAATATGTAAATAAAGTAAAGGTATTCTGTCTATCTACAAAAGAGAGAAAGAAAAAACAAGAAAAATTACATCTACAAAACTTGATTCGTGGGCTGTGGTTGTGGCTCAGTGGTAGAGTGCTCGCCTAGCACATGTGGCTCTGGGTTAGATCCTCAGCACCACATAAAAATAAATAAATAAATAAAATCAAAGTATCTTGTCCAACTAAAAAAAAAAAAAGATCTTTAAAAAAACTTGATTTGTGCCCAACGTGGTGGCCACGCCTGTGACTGGGGCTACTTGGGAGGCTGAAGCATGATGATCACAAGTCCCAGGCCAGCCTGGGCAACTCAGCAAGGCTCTATCTCAAATTAAAAAATAAACTGAAAGCACTGGGGAGGCAGCTCAGTCAGGGTCAGTGAAGCACCCTGGGTCCCCACCCCCAGTACTTTGATGTGGGGGACTGGACTCAGGCCTTCTCAAAGGTGCAAGCCTGGATTTTTCCCTCTCTTTACACAAGCGTGGATTGTGGTGGCATAGGGGCAGTGTGCAACAGCACAGGCCATCTGCAGCACGCTCTCTGGTGTGTGAATCTAAAGAGCGGCAGGCCACAACCTGACCATCAAGGCTGACCAATGCCTGAGCATTATAGGAGTCCCTCAGTAGGACCAAGGAAGATGTCTGGGGGCTTGGAAAAGCTGGGTAGCAAAGCATAATTGTCTCCTTAGAAAACAACTGGATCAGCAGATCTTAGGGTTCACACTTTTATGGTCTCCAACAGGAAAGGCATTAGCAAACCGAGTAACTATCTCACTACTGTAGCAGAGTAATGCCAGTGTTAAGGTATAAGGCACTTCTTAAAGCGTGGCTTAAAGTGCCAGAGTGGGTCAGTCTGTTTGGCTGCTTAGAGATGTTCTGAAACAACCCTGGGGCCTCTGGCCATGCCCAGACGGCCCAGGGAGGCACCTCTGCTGCTGCCACCTGGGTCCATTTCCTCTACATACAGGTACGTACACAGGAAGTATAATCAGGACTAGAGGAGATCAGAGGACAGTGGTGGTCCAGCTCTTTGGGATTGGCACCTATTTCTACAAAAGACCAGACAGTAAAATTGGGCTGCGAGGCCACAATATCACTGAGCTGGGCAAGTGCCCTGAGACACAGTGCCAAGGGACAGCTATGGCTGTGTGCCATAAGCAGGAGAAGTAGACACACATGGTCTCAGTAAGCTGCAACCTCACCCAACAAGCAGAACCTCCAGACAGCAAAGGAAAGGCACTTCCAGGGTGTCTCCTGAGACTCAGGGAAGCAACACAGAGGAGGACAGCAGAAGGGCCTCCAGAAGCCAGCCCTCTCCCCACCCGTCAGGCCCACAGGCCACCAGCATAGGCGTCACCACTGGAAGCTGCTCACCAGAGGAGGGAGGCCTCAGAGAGCAGACTGGCCCCTCCTAGCCCTGCAGAGGGACTGCCGCAGAAGACTCACACTCAAGACACTGCACATTCTGTCCTGTGAGAGGCTTTTGTGAAAGCTTAAGCGGACAGAGCAAGAAAACAGACACTAGGAAAATGGGTCACATTTTATTTTTTTCAAGATAGGGTTCTGGTCTTAAAAGGTTGAGCCAAGAGGATGGCTGGTCCCGATGCAGATGCACTCTCCTAGAAACAAATCAGCCAACAAAAGCCAAACCCACCAACCCAACCAGAAGGGAGCAGAGGAACTGGCCACATGAGACCCACGGGACGAGGGAGAGGTCATGTGCAGCAGTTGGTGACAGGCTCATCACAGACCACTCTGGAAATGAGCTCAAAGAACAGACAAAAAAGAGAAGTGGCAGAAAAGGGTGGAGGCTCCTAAAGAGGCCCCTGAGGTAGGGCACAGCACCCTCTCTGGGGCCCAGGAGCCAACTTGTGGTACTGCCCTGACACAGGGCGCAGTGCAGGCCCCTGCGATCCGCAAACTTACCCTTTAGGTACTCTGTGATCCGCTCTTTCAGTTCCACAGGCTTATTTTTGCTTCGTTCACAAATCACCTATTTAAACAAAACAGTAAGTGAACACCAAAGCTCATTTTATCACAATGTTTCCTTATGCAGAACTTATTAAAAGCAAGTTTTAAAATCAACAAAATAGGAAGAGATCTTTAGATCTTTTTTCTTTTTTTAAAAATATTTTTTAGTTGTAGATGGACACTGTACCTTTATTTTATTTATTTATTTTTACGTGGTGCTGAGGATCGAACCCAGGGCCTCACAGCACTAGGCGAGCGCTGCACACATTCCCAGCTCCAGGAAGAGATCTTAATGCTAAATTTTCATAAAGTTCACACTTTATTTAAAAAAATTTCCATTCTGTCCTTTAACACACTTTTATAAAAGCTTAAGAGGACAAAGCACTCCAGGAATATGGGTGAATTTTTATTTTCTTTGTACAACTCCACATTTTTCTATTTCTGCAAAGAAAGGAAAACTTAACAGTGTGTTTCTCCAGGGGCTGGTGATGGGGCTCAGTGGCAGAGCACTTGCTACCTCTCTATGCCTAGCATTGAAACCCTGGGCTCAATCCCAGAACCACAAAAAAGTGCAGTCAGGCATGAGCAGCAGCCTGTGGGTGCTCTTCCCACCTCCTCCGCTTTGTAGGTCCCTGTTGAGAGCCACAGCCGAAAGGGACCCCAGCAAACTTCTAGCTGCCAACTGATTGGCTCCTCTGTGGTGATGCTCATTAGGCTGTTTCCCCGCCCTTTCAGACCACGCAACTGCTCATTGGGGGACTTTTTTGGCTCCGCCCACATGACCCAGCCAATCGGCCTCAAGAGCAGGAGGAAGGTGGGGGGAGGTTGAGAGGCTTGTGGGAAGCCGGTGGTGGCTGTTGGGCTCTGAAGGTTTTTCCTGAGGAGCTGTGTGGTTTGGTGTGTGTGTTCTAAAAATAAAGTTCATTTCTTTTGACAAGTGGCTCCTGAATTGTGCCCAGCCAGACTGCGGCAGGTCCCCAGGCCTGGGAGCATCTGCTGCTGTGGAGCTGGGCAGAGGCAGAACACCATACAACATGGAGTGCAAACCTAATTCTGCAACTGGGAAGTCAACTTCTGAACCCCTGGAGAATTATAGCAGTAAGATATTTTTGTTAGATACAATAGAAAACCAACAGTCTTTTTTTCTTTGGCAGTATGGGGAACTGAACCCCAGGGTACTCTACCACTGAAGTACACCCCCAGCACTTTTTAATTTATTTTTTACTTTGAAACAGGGTCTCCTTAAGTTGCTGAGGCTGGCCCTGAACTTGTGATCCTCTTGCCTTAGCCTTTGGAGTAGATGGGATCACAGCCATTACCACCATACGAGGTCCAACAGCCTTCCAATAAAAGCTGAGAAGGAACAACAAAACTATCAGCCTGAGAGAAACAAGCTAAACTTGTCAATGCAGCCAAGTATTTTTAAGTCTGTAACTAATTCTAAGTGAAAGTCAAATGCTTTAATAATGGCATGAGTTAGGCTGGGGACGCAGCACCAAGGTATAACATATGCAGCCCTGGGGTTCCAAATCCCCAGTACAGGGGGCAAGGGTCCAAACAAATAAACACAAGTTTAAAGCTGTTTTTGCTATTTTTACCAAATAGCATTTTACACTGGAAAAATATAGAAAAACAAAATTGAGTCATATGTAAAATAATGGTAATTTCTCAGCTGCAGAATTTTTCTATAAATTGTGTTCTTTTTGTTTTTGGTTCTGGGTAGGTTAGGATTGAACTCAGGGGCACTTAACCACTGAGCCACATCCCCAGCCCTATTTCATATTTTATTTAAAGACAGGGTCTCACTGAGTTGCTTAGGGCCGTGCTAAGTTGCTGAGGCTGGCTATGAACTCATAATCCTTCTGCCTCAGCCTCTCGAACTGCTGGGATTACAGGTGTGCGCCACCACACCTGGCTCGGGTGTTTTTTTTTTTTTTTTAACATGCATTCTATATTTTCTACAAAAAGTCGGCATTAGTAACATAATAACAACAATTTAAGGGCCTGGGGAAAGTACTACCAGGTTTCATTTCTAACTGGTAGTCCAAGTCAGCTACAGGGCGACCCCTGCTTGTCTTTCCACTCTCCAAAGTTTCAGTTCCCTCTTCCATTTCAAGGGCACAAGGTGCACTGCACCAGTTTTGCTCAACTGCTAAGGATCAGGAGGAAGCCTGCTTCACAAGGCTTGACTGCATCCTGTGGTGACACGTGTGAGGGTCAGCAAGGTGCCTGACGCACACCCAACTGAACACATCGGCTCCTTTCAACAGCAGCACCATCTGCTTGCTCCTCAATATCACTTAACGGTGCTCCTCAATATCACCGTCAGCACCATCAGCACTATAGTCCTCAACACCATCTTCACCATCACAACCATTACCACAATCTCCATCATCACCATCTGCACTCACTCTGAACTTGGTCAACTGATAAGCTCAGAGAGGGAATATGGCCAGGCATAGTGGTGCACACCTGTAATCCCAGCAATGTGGAAGACTGAGGCAGGAGGCTCCCCAAGTTTGAGGTCAGCCTCAGCAACTTACTGAGATCCTGACTCAGAATTAAAAGGAAAAGGTCTATCTATGTACCTTGGAAGTTAAGGGTCCCTAGGCTCAATCCCCAGAGGAAGGAAGAAAGGAAGAAAGTGAGGGAAGGAGAGCTGAAAAGAAGAGGGGAGGGAGGGGGAGGAGGAGGAGGAGGAGAATATGACAAATGACTGCTAAGTGTGTGGAATAACTGACCCAAATCAACACACAGGGCCAGCTCTCCCCCTGGCTCAGCAGGGTATCAGGAACGCCTGAAAGCAAGCAAACACACTCGTTCTGACTTCACTGGAGCTGTGATCACAGACAGCACATTTACGTCTTTTCTTTTTTTTTCCAGTACCGGAGTCTGAACCCAGGAGTATTCTATGTTGAGCTGCATCCCCAGCCCTTTTTATTTTTGACTTCGAGACAGGGTCTCACCAAATTGCTGGGGCTGGCTCTGAACAGATCATCCTCCTGCCTCAGCCTCCTGAGCTGCTGGGCTTACAGGCATAAACAACCAAGTGTGATCTTTTTTTTATTTATTAATGTATGTATGTATTTTGACAGGATCTCACTAAATTGCCCAGGCTGGTCTTGAACTTGTGATTCCCTGCTTCAGTCTCAGGGTCACTGGGACTACAGAGGTGCACCAACGCAACCAGCTTGTATTTTCATTTCTAGCACCACAGTATAATTGCGTTTTTAAGAATTACTTACATCTTCGGGTGTTTTTCCGTATTTATTCCTTGGGTTTTTCACAATCAAAGGGTGTGAAGAAAGTACACTGACCACATCCACATTCCCAAACTTGCAAGCAAAGTGCAAAGGTGTGTCATAGCCCTGAAAGAAGTGCAGAGGAAGTATAATTATTCAACCTTTTATATAGTTGCGAGGTGAAATAGGTATTTACTAAAAAAAAAAAAAAAAAAAAAAGCCTCAAAACTAAAAAGACTATAGAAGATGTTGCTGTTATAGTCGCATGCTGGGATGTACCCAGTCTATTCCAGGGCTTGGAATAGGAAGGCATGACCAGATCAGAGCAAAGCCCATGGATGTGGCCTACTCGCAAGGATAGCTCTCTGCTGTGGATTCCACAGGAAACGGGTCTCTCTTAACTACTGCCTTCAGGCCACTGAGCACCTCACCTCCTGATGCTCTGACAACACGGTGGTGGCCCAGGCTCCATACCTTCCCCTGCCCTCTGCACAGCTCCACCCACCCCCACCTTTAGGCAGTTTTGAGGGCACCCACAGGCCAGTAGGCCTATGGTCAACAGGACCCCCAAACTGAGTTGTGCAAGGCCAAAGCTGGGATGTGCAGAGGAAGGTCTAGAAGCAGCAAATGCACATCCTTCCAGACCCTTCCAGCACCAGACAGCAACCCCAGCTCGCCAGTGTCACTCCCCACTGTCCCCAAGAATACCATACTCTTGCTTCTGGGCCTTACTCCTGTATGCATTCATCTTCTGTCCCTGGCTGAGTCCAAGAGATTTGCACCCTGTCCCCTGCTGGACTATACCCTAACCCTAACCCTAGTCCTCATGGCGCCTCTCCACGGAACCTTGTCCCCTGCTGGATAGTCCCCTGGTCCTCACGATGCCTCTACCCTGCACCTTGTCCCCTTGGTGGGAGCTAGCCTGCTTTCTCTTGATTGTCTGCTGCTGCTGCCTAATGCTGTCCCTGTAACAGCCACAGACAAACATCAATGGATGAGCTCACAGCTTCCAGAGACAGCTGAGAGCTGGTGACATGCAGGACCTTCCCCACCACTCGGCCTTTCTCCATTCACACCTTCCTCAGAACACTCAGATCCCAGGGTCCTTCACTTCAGCCATACTCTCACCCAGCCCCTCACCTCTGCTACACAATAGGACAATACTTCCTGCTGCCTTCCAAGGATCTGGGCACATTGGGGCCCACACAGACTCTCTAGCCTGTTCCATGCTCCATGCTCTAGTCCTCCAGCCCTCCCTTTGCCATGCCGGGTACCCGCTACAGAGCTACACACTCTCCCCACATCCTGCTGACCCACCGAGCCCTGAGTCTCACCACTATGTCCCAGTGAGCTGTTTGCTCACAGACCCATGACCTTCTAAATAATCAGGTATTTCCTACTTTTAAGGTCATGTTAAGATGTGCCCTGAAACCTCTACTTTAATAATTAATAAGCTAGCTTTCTTGCTAAACTATGAAATAATTTCTTGCCTTTTTTTTTTTTTTTTTTTTTGGTATCAGGCATTGAACCCAGGGATGCTTAACCACTGAGCCACACCCCCCAGTTTTTTTTATTTTTCATTTTAAGATAGTTTCACTAATTTCTTGGGGCCTTACTAAGTTGTTGAGGCTGGCCTTGAACTTCTCGTCATCCTGCCTCAGCCTCCCCAGTCACTAGGATCACTGAAGTGTGCCACCATGACTAGCTCTGTTAGTTCTAACACAGACAGACATTTTCTATGAATTTTGCATGACCCTTTAGAAACAAACAGATGGCTTAGCACAGTGGCCACACCTATAACCCCAGCTACCCAGAAGGCTGAAGCAGGAGGCTCACCAAGTCCAAGGCCAGCCTCAGCAACTTAGGAAGATTCCGTCTCAAAATTAAATTAAATTAAAAAGTCTGGGAGTGTAGCTCAGTGGTACAGTGCTTATCTAGCTAGCTTGGAGTCCTGGGTTCAAATCCTAGTATCGCTAGGTGTTTTCTGTGGGACACAAAGCCCTACACAGCTGTGCAGACTGGCTGTGGGTGGTAGTACATAAATGTGATGCCTCTGCTCAGTTTACTACTAGTTCAGCACACTTTTATTTTATCCATTCTTTCCTGTTCCATGTTTGCTACTACTTTTTTGAAACCACCTATGATATTGTGACTTACAGTAGTCCCTTGATGGCCTCCTGAGATTGATCCTCCCCACAAGACACTAAAACACTTGAATGCTCAAGTCCTTATATACAACAGCACACACTTTAAATAACCTCTACTCACTTATAATCCCCAACGCAGGGTAAACCTGTGCTAACAGCTGCTGTACTACATCACTTAGGAAACAAGGAAAAGAACCTGCACAAGTCGCTGTCATCACCATGTGCTCCTGCAGCTCTACCCAGGACATCCCAACTGCCAGGCTCTGCTGGGAGTTCCGGCCCTGGCTCCAACCTGCCACTGGATGCTTTCATGTAGATAAACTCATTTCAAGATCCCTTCCTTACACCTTACGCAGTCACCAGAATTTGTGCCTTTGGAATTTTGTGACCCTACAGGAAACACACCTCACACAACATTCAGTGACGAGGAGGAGGACACACATAGGACACTAGAACACAAAGCAGAAAACCTCCTTCACTCCACACAGGCACACCTGGCCCTGGGAGGCTCCTGTGGGAAGGGCCTTGCCTTCTCAACCCATCCGCTAAGCACTCTGTCCACCAGAGCTGCTCGCTCTCCAGGGCCCAGCACACTGTGCAGAAAGCAAGTCTGCCTGAGGCTGAAGCAGCACTCACCACTTTGTCCGGGGTGTTCAGATACAAGTCCACGATGTAGCAGATGCGCTTCTGCAGCATGCTCTGGTCATCATCTGGGTACATAAGCCGCATGAACTCGGGGTTTTCCAGTGTTTCCAACGTCAACTGGCAGACAGAAGCCTGATTCTCTTTGGCAGCAACATGCATGACGTTGTACCTACACCCTTCCTGAAAGACAAATGCACACTGCAAGCCCCATTGATTTCAAATGGTCTTTGTCATAAGTGCGGTGACCACATGGCAGAAGAGAAGCTGAAAGCTGACTCACCTGCACAATGGTTGGATTGTCCCCTGAGCCAATCAGATACCGGGGGTTGCTCCAGATAAGGTCAGAAAAGGTGTCCTCCTCCCCCTTCTCCACAGCTTTCCGCAGCTTGGCAGTGAGGTCCTGAGTGCGGGGGTTTTTGTAGCTGTTTGCTCGCTCCTTGTTTACTATTTCTGGTTCAGATAAGCACAGACCATCTGCCATCGGGACACAGAAGTGAAGGGCACTCACTATACCTCCTCACCACTCTCTGTGCTGCAATGTGTGACCTCCCAGGCAGTGTGGCAGCCTCAGGAGGGACAGGCGAGGAGCAAGGAAAGCTGTGGGTGTGCTGCAGCCAACCAAGGGCAGCACCTGTGCACTGTGCTCATGCACAGACCCACCAACCAAGTCCAGCCAGGAGTGGCTGTGTGAATGACATGTCCTTCAGTGCGATCTGAACAAATCAGTGAATAAATTAACCAGGCAGCTTGGCAGGTGGAGCAGGATCAGCAGCCTCGAACTGCTGTGACTTCCAGCACGCAAGAATTTCCAGAAAGGGGGGCTCCACATATGGTTTCTGTAGGTCTAATCACAACACCTGAGAATGTCTTAAATGTCCTTCAGCCGAACTCTCACAACTGTGAGGAGTGGACTGTGTAAGGCTAAGCAAGGGAAAAGAGAATAGTCAACAGAAAGGCCCTTGACTGAAGACCAGCCCTTCCTGACAGGGCAACTTCCCTCCAGAACACAGCCAGTGGGGAAGCCCAGAAAAATGCACAGGAGAGGGAACCAAAGCCAAGGAGGTAAGGAGAGCCGAGGCCGGGCCTCTCAAACAGATCCCAGCTCTTAGCAGGGCGCAGGTGTGGTCAGACTTCTGGCTCCCCCAGGGGAGCCCATCTTATGCTCCTAGAAGCAGGTGAGGTTTCAGATGGGTATGCAGACTGTCTCAGAGAGACCTGGACCCTGCTGGCAGCAGGTGGACAAAGCACACATGGAAGGGCCAATAGAACTCTTCTTGCCAAGTCCTGGCCTGTCTACTCCAGACCCCAGGAGGCTTCCCAGGTCCCACCCTGCCTTCCAAACCTCCTGACCAAGCCCTGAGACCCTCCCCTTTTGTTGCCCCCACTGCAGGGGCCTCTGCTCACACCAGACTTCTCCCACAAATGGAGAGAGTAAGATGCCATCCGTCAGAAGGAGGGCACAAGGCATCTTGGGGAGCCTGATGGTAGCATGATTTACCTTTCAGCCCACCACTGCTGAGGAGTGGCGCTGCCCGCACAGGGGACAGTGGTGACGAGGCTCTGCTTGGAGAAGGGAAATAGTCACAAATTCCTCTAGCAAATTTCTCAGCATCTTCTCTGGTTGGAAAAGCTTTAAATCGGGACCCTTTGATCATTTTGACAGCTTGCAATGCGTCCTTTTTATCTTCATAAACATGGATCTTTTCTGGGTGGGAAAAGCAATAGAACAATTAGCAACAAGAAACTGGAGCTCTGTCGCTTTATCACACCTGGGCCAACTGTCGACTCAAACAGTGTTACCCAGTCTCCTGATTTTACTCTCACAGTTCAGATTTTTAAGCTTGCAAGAGCGCCTCAGCTAGCAAAGAGAACCACATTAATAAATTTGATTATATATATCTGTACAAAGCACGATATTATTGTATATCTATTATGTAACTTCATATCTTATGATACTACACTGTACCAAAACATGAATTTCAATATTAAAGATCTAAACTAAAAAGGTTGGACAGTTTTTTTAATCTGTAACTTTGAATTTTCAGGGCACCCCATCCGACGGCCCCATTACCATTTCTCACTGGGCCGTCCTCATACACTGGGCACACTCCATAGTACAGGGATGGCTCCTTAGAGGGCGTTGCTCCAGCCTGGTGGGTGTCACTCCTGAGGGAGGCACCTAGGGGCTCTGGGCGTGCCTTGGATGCCACAGCTTCCTCCTCTGGCGAATTCAAGCCCACACTGTAATTAAAATCTCTGTCTTCAGAAAAACTGGCCTGCACAGTCAGGTTTCCTTCAGCAGACGGCAGAGTCCTCTGTGTGTCCTGGCTGAGTGCTACAGCTGTCTCCCTGAGGTTGGAAAGAGAGGCAGGCAGCACTCCACCTTGATCTAGTAAAGCCTGAGCCAATTTCTTTTCAAAAATGAACCTTGTGGTTGCTGTAATGGGGCCACATTTCAATCCAGCTCTGAAGACTTCTTCTCTGAGGTCATCTGGACTCAGGAGTTTTAACCGAGCCAAAACAGCATCCATTGTCACGTCACCTAAGTCCAAAATAACAAGTCAACCTGCTGGGCAGAGCAGGTCCCACTTTCCACACAATGTGTCCTTACTCTAAAGCCACCTTCTCAGCTTGGGCTGGTAGTCTGAGGGAGGTCTGTTCTCTGCAGGCAGGCAAGCCTCACCACAGGACTGAACCCCTCCTGAAACCTCCTGCTGCGAGCCTGGGCAGGTCATGCCAACACTTAGCCTCAGCTTCCTCACCAACAAAATGGTGAGGATGGCTCTATCCTCAGGCTATAAGGAGAACATGCAGTACTGCACACAAAGTCTGTCCCACTGGGTCTGACAGAGATAGATTATTCCTACTAGGAGACATAAGGGTCTGCTCCTGTGTATAGAGAAACTCAGAAACTGGCTACCTATAAGGTGGGGGAACCAAGTGGAAGAAAAGTTTTAACTTTTGGAAACACGTCTGGGATTCCCACACTCAAGTAACCAAATGAAAAGATGACAGAGATGCTCACACAGAACACAAACCAAACAAAGCTAACACTGCAAATGGATAATGTGAGAGTAGGGAGAACCAACCCAAGTGACTCTTGAAGACAGCATGGTGACCTTTAAAGACAAGCAGCACTTCAGCAATCATACAATCCAGTTAGCTGGGGGTTCCCCAGTAGTGTAGAGCAGCATTGTGAAGCTACTTTATGTGTACTTGGGCACAGACTGCGGCTAATGAGAGGCGGACTTCTCACTGACAGAGAAAGGAAGGGGTCAGTAAACCACTCCTGGAAGGGCCCGTGAGAAGGCACCCAAGACTTTGCTAGCCAGAGAGCCTCTCCAGCACTCAAGAACAGCCACAGGTGACAAGTAAAGGAAAGGGCAGGACTATGCTCCAAGGACTCTTTATTCACAAGACAGGTGGAGGCCACAGGTTGTTGACCCTTGGCTAGAACAACTCAGTGCTGCTACATTGGAATTGGATGAAGCAGTATGACCTCACTGGTCTTAGACAAAGACATGAGAAATTGAGTTAGATCTGTAGACTGGATGATAGTGATCCATCAATGTCAATTTCCTGGTTTTCATACTCGTATGTGGTCATCCAAGATACTAACATTTAGGGAATCAAATTGAATAGTGTGCACAGTTACTTCCACTTTTTATTTTCAAATAATTATAGATCCATAAGAAGTTATAAAAATCATACAGAAAGATCCTGAGGACCCCTTACTCACATTTCTCCAAGGCTGACACTTGCCTATCACATGTACAGATTTGTGTACCTACCACCATGAGAACTTATCCCACAATCACCAAAGATCACTCTCCTGCACCTTTTGGTGACATTCAATCTTGCCCATTGTCCTAGGATCTGGCAACCAACCTCTTCTCTATCACTCTGAGTAGTGCACTTTAAGAATGTTACATAAATCATTTGGGAAAGACCTTCTGAGTGGCCTTACTCAGTACAACACCTCTGAGGCCAACACAGATCATGCCACGGGCCCTGCTAAGGCACACCCCTGATGTGAACATGCTAGTTTATTAAACCATTTACCCTTTGAAGGACATGTGGGTCATTTCTGGTCTTGGGCAATTACAAATTGCATATGGATTTTTATGTGAAAATAAGCTTTCAATTATCTAGGACAAATGGGAGAAACTGCCAGACTGATCCCTACAGGGATGGTACTACTGAATACTCCAACAGCAGCATATGGGACCCAGCTTCTTAACACCTCTGCCATTTTGGAAGTACCTATATTTTTTATTTTAGCCATTTCAGTATGTGTGTAGTGATATTGCATTTCAGATTTAACTCATATTTCCCTACCAGCTGGCAATACTGAACATCTTTTCACAAGAGTTAAGTTGGTGTGTACTATTTCTATAATCTTTTATACACTTGATATAATTTCAAATTTAAACAAAGTTTTAAAAACAACACAAATCTTTGAACTTGTTAGCCTCCTGCCTCAGTCTATCCAGTTGCTGGGATTTCAAATGTACACTACTGTGCCTGCCCAACTTCTGCCACCCAATTTTTAAAATTAATTTTAAAAAAAGACATTCAGACTCCCACCTCTCAGCTCTATACCCTACTAGCAACACATGGGGTTTTCTTCAGCGTCTGGTTACCAATCTGTGTCCTGTTCAGAGTTTGTGGCAATATTGAGTGTAAATGGACAAATCAGGGTTCCACTTATAAAAGATGCCCCTGATACCTCCTTAAGGGGCTGAGAGAAGGTAAAATTCGACAGGATGGAAGGCACAGAGCCCAGTGTCCACAGGCCTACATCCCATCAGGCTGCTGCTCAGCAGTATCCTGACCCTCCTGGAGCCTTTCTTCAGCTGCAAATCCAGTATGTGAGAAAAAAAATAACCCCTCAACATCCCTTCAGCGCTGAGGTCTAAAGTGGCCCGTCATCAGCCGTTTACTGCCAAGTGTCCCCTATCAGGGTACTTAAACAACTCGGGAAGATGTCAGATTTTGCGGGGCGGGTCTGTGTGTGTAAATAAAACACGTCCCCTGATGAATGCAGGACGCACCGCCTGGCAAGCAGTGGACTGCAGTAGAGGAGGCAGGCGGCAGCGAAAAGAGGGCCACCTGGGGTTCCGCTAAGAAACTCCCAAATCCGCTGGGGCAGCCTGCGAGAACTCCAGACTTACTGGGGACTTCAGGTCTCTCCAGATCTTCCCGCGCAATACCGGGCTGAGAACCGGAGCTGTGCCCACCCAGCTCTCACCGAACCTCGCTGACGAAGCCCCCCACTTCCCACCTCGCCGCCCGCCCGGGGTGCGCCGGACACGCCCTCACCCGCGCAGGAGCCCCGCGCCGCCGCGACCCGCCAGCTCTGCTCTTCGACGTCTCCCGATGCCCTCAGCTCGGGCACTTCCAGGCGCCGCGCCGAGCTCCACTCCCTTAGCCCGCCGCGGAGCCCCAGGCCGTGTGGCGCCGGCCTCCCGCCGCGCAGCCCCGCCCCGCTCCCGCAACCTCCTTCAGCTCCAGCCCGCAACTCTTGGGGGCCAGCGGCCGCCCCGCCCGCCTCGCGACGGCCGCGGTCCCACGGGCAACTACGCCTTACCTGCTCCAGGGGCCGGGGCCGCGCAGGGCGGCGGGGTCGGAGTCCCGCCGCGGCCCAGGCCCCTCGGCCGCTTCTCCAGCCGTCGCACCAGCCAGCGCACCGCGAGGAGCAGCACCGAGGCACCCAGCAGCTCCCAGGCCAGCGCCGCCCACTCGGCTGCCGCTAGCCGGGGCCACAGCATCGCCGCCGCCCGGCCGAGCCGCGCGGGTCCTGCGGCACCTCCTTAGCGCCCGGCGGCGCCGCGCCGAGTCAGGCCCCCGGCTGCCCGCGCCCCGCCTGCGCCGCGCTCCCCCAGGGGAGAGGGACGGGGGCCCCTCGCAATCCGGCGGCTCCCGCTCGGGGCAGATTGGGACTGGCTAGCGGCCCCGGCTCCGGGCGGCCGCGGGGTCTGACTCAGGCAGTGGCTTAGGCAGCAGCTCAGGCAGCGTCGCGGGCGGCCGCGGGGACCTGACTCGCAGCAACGCTCAGCTGGGCGGGGTCGGGCGCAACGCCCAGGGCGGCCGCCGGGGGGCGCCTCAGCCCCGGCTGCTCCAGTGGTCCGGGTGCAAGTTTCAGGAGCGCCAGAGCCGGCGTCGGAGAAGCCTGACCTGAGGGCAGGCGAGTGCCCGGGAGCGGAGGGGAGGGGACTGGGACCCGGAGAGTCAAGGCGGGCTGCCAGGCGGGACGAGCCAGAAGGAGAGGGCAAGTGGCCACGCACGAGGGACAGGTGCGGTTTCAACGACAGCCATGCAGGACGTGCCTGGCCCATCTCACGGCTGAACAGGAACTAGCCCGGTGTCCCTGAGGCCACAAGGTGTGGACAGCCGCAAGCGGTCCCGTTCTGCCGTCCCTCCCCTCCCGGCAGCCGCGCCCCTCCGCAGCCCAGTCCCGCGCCGCCGTCCCCCCCGCAGTCCCGCCCCTTGTGGTCGGCGCTTCTGGGCCCTGCCCTTCTCAAACCCGTCAGGTGTGTACGAGATTTATATAGTAACATTTTGTGCCTGTGTTACTGGGGGATTCAACACAGGGGCGCTTTATCCCTAGTTCGTTCATTCATATATATATAAATAAATATAATATAATGAACTGTATATATATAAATAATATAATGAACTGTATATATATATATATTAGTTCATAATATATATGTATTTTTGAGGCAGGATCTTGCTAAGCTGCTAAGGCTGGCCTTGAACTTGAAATCCTCCTGTCTCAGCCTCCTAAATAGCTTGAATTACAGGCGTGTACCACCACACCCAGCATATATGTGTTTAATGGAAAATTTTAAGATATAATTGATGTCCTTGATTTAAAAAAAAATCTGAGCTAGGCACTGTGATGCACACTTGTAATTCCAGCAACTGGGTCGGTTGAGGCAGGAGGATGACAAGTTCAAGGCCAGCCTCAGCACTTAACAAGATACTGTCTCAAAACAACAGTTGATGGGGGGTGCCCTGGGGATGAAGCTTAGAATGAACCCCTGGGTTCAATAACGCGGGCGTGCACACACACACACAGATTAAAGAAAAAAAATGACTGGATGGTATTAACAGTTGATCGAACAACAAAGAAGAAAGGGTTAGTAAATTTGAAAAGAATGAAATTTGATTTAAAATCACAATGAAATCAAGTGTGTGACACATATCTGTAATTCCAGCCACTCAGGCTCAGGCAGATGGATCCAAAGTTTGAGGCTAGCCTGGGCAATTCAGTAAGAGTCTCAAAATGAAAAAGTAAAAAGTCTTAAAGCTGTAGATGTAGCACAGTGGTAAAGTATCTCTGGATTTAATTCCCAGTATTGCCAAACACACACACACACACAATGGATACTGCTTTATACCTTCAAGAATAGCTAAAATTAAGAGAATGACAATATCAAATTTTACGAGGAATGTAGAAGGTTTGCAACTCTCAGACACTGCTAGTGGGAGTGTAAAGTGAGATAACCACTTTGCAGATGTCACTCTGCCCTTGTCTGAATGTTCATGTCCTCCAAACTTAATGTGTTGAAACCCTAACTCCCAAGGTAATGGTATCAGGATGTGAGGCCAGTGGAGGTGATCCCATCCTAGGGCAGAGCCCCCATAAATAGGATTACAGCCCTTAGAAAAGGAGCCTAAGACCCCTAGCCTTTCCCAGCCCTTACGCATCCTGCGTCTACAGGTGTCTTGATATTGGACTTCGAGCCAAAGGAACTGAGAAGTTTCCCATTGTCTATAAGCCACACACCTTAGAGCACTTTGTTACAGTCCCTAGCCCCCCACCCAAGGAACCAAGACCACCTCCCTGTGGCTCAACAGTGCAGCCCTAGGAACTTACTCAGGAGTGAAAATGGAAATTAACAGAGGGTCATTTGAAAATGTCCATAGTGAAGTTATTCTAATAGCCTCAAAACTGGGAACACCCCAAATGTCATCCATGGGTAGACAGATTCGAAGTTGTCTTGTTAGTGTAGGACCACAAGGTAGTGCAGGCATAGGCAGAGCTTATGGTGGTGAGCCTCAGGACAGCAGTTGGTCCCAGTGGGGTGCTGACTGGAGCCTTGGGCCACTTGTTAGGGTTTATGGCACCATGGCACACATTTGTCAGACTCATAAAACCACATACTGAAAGGTGGTTTTTGGTTTATGCCAACATTTTTTACAGAATGACGTTAGATGAAGCCTTACCATTTGGTACTATGCCCTTTTGTGTTCTGTTGTGGTACTAGGGATCCATCCCAGGGGTGCTCCACCACTGAGCTACACCCCCAGCCTTACTCTTTGGACACAACCTTGCTGAGCTGCTGAAGGGGCTGTAGCTGGAGATCTCCCAGTTTCAGCCTGGGCGTGGCTAGAACCACAGGTGTGCATCGACATGCCCACTCTAACACCCTCTTAGCTTTCCCGTGGTATGAAGTGGCCAGCTTTCCAAGAAAACCTCCTAGTGCCGGCAGCGGCAGGACAGCTCTCAGCCAGCACTGGCTTAGGGAGTGTGCTGCATGGCTGGGCAGTGGTGCTGGGGGTAGGTGTGTTGAGTGCATTTCCAACTTACCTTCAACTTACAGTAGTTCATCAGGCAGCAGGTAACCCCACCCTAAGTTGGGGAGCATGGTACCGTGAGCGTGGCTGTCCCCAACATTTACCATTCAGCCTTTGTGACAGCACCAGGCCTGGCCAACCAGGCCTGGCCAGATCACCTGCCTTCTGGGTGACTTTAGGTGACAAACTCGATTCCTGTGAAGCAGGAATGAGTACCTGTCTTGGAGGTGAGGCAGCATGTGCCATGCCCTGGCCACAGAGCCTCTGTCCTGTGAAGCTGTCATTGCTGGAGCCCGGCTGCCAGCTTGTATCTACACACAGGCCTCTCAGTGGGGCAGAGGTCTCCCAGTCACCCAGGGTTCCTGGAGTGCCGAGAGAACCGTCGCGAGAATAAGCCACGGTGAAGAGATGTCCTCTACAAGAAGTGCTGCCACAGGAAGGAGCAGATGCAAGCGGTGCCCAGCTCCTAGGCTGCTCCATGCAACAGGAGAGCCAGGGTCTCGTGCCCACGCTTCACAACAGCCGTGCCTGAGAGCTGACAGTGGTCCTCCTCCCCAGAGCTGTGAAGCCTCCCTCATCAGTTTTCTTACGCTTGACCTGCCACCGGCAAGACCAGTGTCTCATTTCAGTCACTTGAGTGTGGGGTTTCTGACTGTACTGTCATGATGGGGTCCTGATGGCACCATCTCCTCACTCCCACCCAGTGCCACCTACGTGCAGTTAACAGAAGGAGTCAGACCCCCAGGTAAGCAGCTCTGCTGCTGGCCTCCATCTACCATGAGGCAGGAGGGAGAGGATTTGCCCACCAGGTGGCGCTGGATTCCTACAGCTGAGCAGATGAAGCCTGGAAGGAAGAATGGCAGCCTTGGAGGAGCGGTTTGAGGTACTTCTCTCTTTCTTGGTGATAGTTTTCTGAACTCCTGCTTCACAGGACTCTGCCACACTTGAGGGTATTCAGATGTGACACTCAAAACTATTCTGCTGTGAAGGTGACATTGCAGAGATTATGTGTGAGAAAGCCACAAGCCACTTGCTGCAATCCCAGGTGGAGGAGGACTAAATGGGAGGGTCTTTGGCTCAGCCTGCTAAGCTGCCCCGCCACCACACACAGCTCTGTCTTCAGAGAGGGGCCAATGCTCCAGATCCCCCCACTCTCAGGCTCCTGGAGGCACCATCTTCAGGCCTAACTTTAGCTGCAGATGGAGCATGGAAATGCAGATGGCCTGCAGTCACTGGCCAGAGTGTGGTGGGCCAGGCTTGAGTCTGCTCCATCCTAAGGGTTGTGGGGATGGAGACAGTGTGCATTTGGGCCCCCTGGACAGCGAGACAAAGAATAGCACAGATGGCTTGTCAACAGTTTAAAGGAAAAATGCCTGGTATTAGAGACTGAATCCAGGCCAAGAGAGTGCTCTTACTGAGCTGCACCCCAGCTCTTGACAACACAATTAACACCACCCCACTGTTTCCAGGAGGAAGGACTTTGTCAAAGCACACTTACTTAGAGTCTGCGTCATTTGTCATTACAGGTTAGATGTGAAGAATCCCCCAAAAGCTCTTAAGTGAGGCAAGCAAGAATTTCCAGAGGTGAAATGATTAGATTTTAGGGTGAACCAATCGGCAGATTAATCCACTGATAAGGATTAACTGGGTGGCAGCTGTACGCAGGTAGGGTGTGGCCATCCCTGACAGTCCCCCGCAAAGCCCACCAAAGTAAGTCCCACCAAAATCCACTCCCACATCCTCACTGTAAGAGACTGGAGCACAGAGCAGCTATTTAACAAAGATTAATATGCCAACTAGTTCTGTGCCTGCAAACACTTACCAACTTTTTATACAGCTGGAAATAGTTCTGAAAACATAAAACCCCTCATGGTCACTGCATACAGAAACAGTGCAACCTCAATGCCTAAAGAAGTTAAGGCAGAAAAGGTGGCCAGGGCATTGTTAGACTGCAGCACTGCAGTCAGCAGACCTCAAATAAAGGGTGGGACAATCATGGTGGCATAGTCCTAGCTACTTGGGAGGCAGAGGTAGGAGGATGGAGAGTTCCAGGCCAGCCTGGCCAATTTAGTGGGAACCTATCTTAAAAAAAAAAAAAAAAAAAAAAAAAAAGCCTGGGGATGTGCCCCAGTGGTAGAGCACCCCTGGGTTCAATCCCAGTACAGAAAAGAAAGGAACGAAAAAG